TACTTAATGAAGCATAATAAGTAAATGATAAAAATTTCAAAATGATTGCACTGCTTTAAAGCCCTTTGACCTTTAATAATGTGTGGATGCACCCTGATGCGCTACGCATTCTCCAACGTGCCTAGGCATGCTTCTGATCAGGTGGTCAATGTCCTCCTGTGGTATCTCATTCCAGGCAACCACCAACTCCTCTCGAAGTGCTTCTAGAGTCTGAGGAGGACGTTGCAAATTGAGCAATCTCCTACCCATCATATCCCACACGTGCTCAATAGGGGATAAGTCGGGAGATCTTGGTGGCCATGGTAATAATGTGACATGGTTATGTTGAAAGAAGTCTATTGTGACTCTTGCAACATGTGGTCGGGCATTATCTTGTTGGAAAGTTGGATCTGCCAGGGTGTCAAGATAGGGTAAAAGATGGGGTTCTAGAACTTCGTGGATATAACGCTGCGCGTTCATGTTACCTCTGATGAAGATTAAAGGTGGCCTGGAACCATAAGCTATAGCACCCCAAACCATAACTCCAACAGTGTGGTGAACATGTCTTTCAACAAAAAACTGTGGATTCCTCCTTTCACCACGTCGCCTTCTAACCCTGGCACGACCATCGTGCATGCCTAAACAAAGTCGAGACTCGTCACTAAATATAATACTGTTCCATTCCTGATCCCAGAGTGACCGTTGTCTGCACCACTCAAGGCGATTACGTCGGTGTTCTCGAGTTAAAGGGAGGACCCAGTGTGGACGGTATGAAAACAAGCCAAAACTTCTCATTCATCGGTAAACACTTCGCATGCCAATAGGTCTTCCGTGTTCTGCAAACCATTCATTTGCAATGGACCTGGTAGTGGAGAAACGGTCCCTTAAGGCCAATAATGTTAGGCGGCGATCTTGTTCTACGGCGGCGTAAAGTGCCCCTTGCTCTTTGCGTACGGCCTTCTCGAAGCCATGCCTGACAACACCTAACCACAGTGTCTACACTTCTTTGCACTCTAACTGCAATTGCCCGAAAAGAAAGTCCAGCTTCCCGAAGTCCCACTATACGACCCCTATCAAACTCACTAAGATGACGAAATCGTACAGGTCTCCGTACTCTAGGCATCGTAACCGATCATAAAGGATGTCAAGAACCAAAATCCGCCAACGTTGATTCTTTACTGCGGCTGAAATATTCATTTTTAGAGCGTTAGTGAATTAAAAAAAAGCAGTATAAAAACCGGAATGTCCAACTGATAAGGCTGAACATTTTTTCACTTGGTATTTATAGTAAGATAAATACATTCACCAACTTTTATTAAAATAAAACCATTTAAACTGGGTGTTCGGATTTATATGTCACTTAGTATATTAGCTGTGAAATTACCTTTGGATTTTCAGTGGTCCTCGACCCAGGGCGTTGTCTTATAGCGGCTGGTGAAGGCACTCACTTTGGATTTTACTCATGTTCATATTGTACATTAACCTACAGGGCATACATCATCACGTTTTACGTTTTTACGACGCTTTTACAGGTGTACCACTCCGTAAAGTGGTAATAACAATGGAACGTGACCTAATTGTCTTCTTAGGTTAAAACATCGGGGGTATTTAGGTAAAGGAAATTCCACTTAACAAAGCACGTCTTGGCATACGGGAAGATTGATTAGACTTTTTGTTTTGGTAGATTGCTTCGCCGTTGTTCATATATTTCGAATTTTCATTTGACACCTTTGGTGCAAAAATGTGTTAACTCAGATTTTATAGTTTGGAGATAATTGGCCTCAAAGTTTAAATCATGGCATTTTTATTGAATAGTGTTAGGGCTGCTTTTATTATTGAAGGTTATTTTAGACACAAATAAAAATATCCAGAATGAAAAAGATTGTTGAAAATCTGACTTAACACCTTTTGAAGAAACTGTTATTTGCTTGGTGCGGGAAATGAAAATAGCAGAAAGGTGTTAATTCAATGATGTTATTTATTAAAAGTAAACATTGTTTTTTTTTTATTACGTACATACTCACAAAGGTAATAAGAAATAATCCATACACCACAACTAATCGTCTCCTCTTCTTAAATTTTGCTGAAAGCTTATAAAATTTGTTGGTATTAAAGGAGTTTGTTCCTGAATCTTATCAAACCTTTGGCTCCATTAGGTCGGCTTCTATCGACATTCAATAATAATGCTTCATTTTCTACTCTTCTATCGAGATTTCGCTGTTTGCTTATATCAACAATAGTCCAATTTTCCGTTTCATTTTAAAGAGTATATATAATAATAATAATAATAATATTTATTCACTCAATGTACAAAGATAACAAACAATATGAGTAAATAAATATAAAATCAAAACAGGCCCAATAGAAGGCATCGCCTGTACATGGACCAATAATTTAAGTTGAAACTGTAGAATGCAAATGACAAAAAAGGACAAAAATTAGCTACAGTAGATTATGTATTTAGTTGATGTTCGTATTTATGAGTTTATGAATTTCAGTCCTAGATATAGAATGTAGCCACTTTTTTAAATTTCTTTTGGAACAATTTCCGAAACGTAAATCTTTTAAGTCTTTAGGTATAATTTCATAAAATTTAGGCGCTAAATAGAGATATGATCGCTGCATTATAGATTTATGCGGTTGAGGAACTACTGTGCCACGAATTTTGTACCTGGTATAATGATTATGTTTAATTTTTTGGTCGGTGTTTACAAATTTATGGTAGTGAGTGATACTGTGTGAGAAATAAAGCTGTCTTATATCATACATTCGAACATCTGCGTATAATTTTTCAGTGGGATAAAGTTTCGGTTTTTTAAATATCATTTTTAGAATACTTTTTTGAAAAACATCTAAATTATAGATATGTGAAGAACATGCAGCTCCCCATGCTAATATACCATATGTGAGATGAGGCTCAATCAGTGCATGGTATAATGTTCGAAGATATTTTTCTGTCAATATATTCCCAAGGTATTTAATTTTGTAGGATACAAATCTAACTTTCTTTAAAATATAATTGACATGGATGTCCCATCGTAAGTGAGGATCCAAGACCACTCCAAGGTATTTTATGTTGGGCACTCTATTAATTTGCATTTTTTTATCATTAATATTGAAGGAGAAATTTGTGTAATTTGGCAGATGTCTAGCATAAGATCCAAATGGTAAAAAATGTGTTTCAGAGTAGTTAATGCTTAATTTTGTACTGTTAAACCACCGAATAATTTTGATAAAATCATTTTCAATTACATTTTTCAGATCAGACCAGTCAGTGCCTTCATATAATATTGCAGTATCATCTGCAAAACTAGTTATTTTGCCAACACAATTAATTTGGAAAATATCATTTAAATATATATTGAATAACAGCGGACCTAAGACAGTTCCTTGTGGGACACCACACTTAATATACATTTCTTTACTAAATGATCCTGATATCTGCACAGATTGTGGGCGATTTGACAAATAACTTTCGATCAGTGAGTACGCGTTTCCTCTGAAACCAATTCTCTCCAATGCTTCTAATAATAATTTGTGATTAACTGTGTCGAAAGCTTTTTTTTAATTCAACAAAAATGCAGATTGAAGGGATTCTGTTATCAATATTTTGATGTATTTGATTTACAATTTTAGTTATTGCGTCCGATGTAGCCTTCCCTTCTGTAAATCCATATTGATTTTCACTTAAAATTATGAATTTTGTGAGGTATCGAATCATTCTAGTAGATAAAACTTTTTCAAAAACCTTTGCTACACTGGATATTATTGATATTGGTCTATAGTTGTTAACATCTGTTTTTGTTCCTGATTTATGTATCGGTATTATATTACCTTTTTTTAAAATTGAGGGATATATGCCAGATTCAAACCATTTGTTGATTAGGTAAGTGAGTGGTTCTGTTATGTCCTCGGCTATAATTTTCAAATGCTCGCTTTTAATACCATCGAACCCAGGACTTTTCCGATTTTTTATTATTATTATTCAATTTGGATCTATCTTACATCTCTGAATAAAAATTTCTCATTATTTGTAATTTTTTTCTATTGACCAGTCCAAGTTTTCTTGGAAGTTCTTCAATGTCAACAAATTTGTCCGCCATTCTTGTAATATTAAAAGGTGTGAGACGAGTGAATAGCAGCTATCTGTTGGAACTGTTAATGTATTTCCGTTCACGTTGAAGGCCGAGTCCTCACTGCTACCGCTTGATGCCGTCTCTTCTTTCGATGTAGTCGTTGTAGTCTACTCGCGTTTGAAACTTTACAGTCCAACAGATAGCTGCTATTTACCATCGCAGTGGTCGGTTCTGGTAATAGATGGCACTTTTAAAAACTAAGTATCAACATTTATATGATTTCTGGATGTTCCTGATAAGGCCTTTGCGCCCTGGCAAGGAAAACTGAGAAGAAGAAGAAACAGTTTTTGATTGGCGCTACAAGGAACCACGGGCTTTCTTAGGAGAACTACCAATTGTTTTCTTTAACAAATACTTGTATAAATTCAGAACAAAAATAAAGAAAATATTTAATTTCCCAAACGGCTTACAGCATTGACAAAATAACGACGCGTCTGTGTTCTTGCGTTGGATATGTGTTAGTGTCACTAGAAGCAATTTTTCAACGCATGCATACGAAATCGGCATCAGAAAGACCATGATCTTCCGTGGTTCACCCACCTTATTTCCATGTTCACGTACTAGAACATTAAGTAATATGAACTGCATGAGAGTTGTGGTGAAAACATAGTATTATTCTTTCGTACAAATCTATTTGAACAGAGCATATCAAATTTGTAATAGGATATTCTATGTTGGCATGGTTTTCGATAAATCCGTAGTGGGAAGTTTTCAAATGAACACCCTGCATAATACATAATAATTTACTTATTCTCCTTCTCCACATTCAGTGAACCGGAAGGTAAACGAAAACTTTTTTAGATCGAGCCCTGGGCTCCATTCACTGCTTCTCCTGATTAATACAAGGTAAATAAAGAAATATAAATCTACCACAAGCAGACTTACCTTTCTGGAAAAAGGAAAATATGACTTGTATGCCTTATCAGGGGGCATTGGAAACGGCATCTGATCCAGCGAGCTCCATTCCTTGCACTTTCTCTTTTGGACGTAATATTTGTATACAACGATTGTGACAGCTATGAACAAGGTAGCACCTGTTCCTATAGCAGCCACGAAGACCGACGTAGTTACCATCGCGTTATTATCTGGAACAAAATGAACCTGAGCTTAACTCACAGCTTAACAGTGTAATCGCAATTCTTATAAAATCGTAATAGAATATATTTTTCACCTTTATATAATGGCCGCATGCAAGAATTTTTCTTAGGGCGACCGATCATCAGCAAGCTGTCTCCAAACCATTTGAAGAGCGGACATTAGCAAACTTTCTCAAAGAGGGGGGACCAACCCTAACAATCTCTAAAACTATACACCAAATCATGCTAAATATGCAATTGCAAGGTTCCAAACAAATTTTCATGGGGATTACGGCCCCACCTGGGACTCCCATGCGGGCGCCTATGCTTTATACTGAGGAAAATCAAAGGCAGATTGAGCATGTTAGAATATACTAAGTGACATATAAATCCGAACACCCAGTTTAAATGGTTTTATTTTAATAAAAGTTGGTGAATGTATTTATCTTACTGTAAATAACAAGTGAAAAAATTTTCAGCCTTATCAGTGGGACATTCCGGTTTTTATACTGCTTTTTTTTAATTCACTAACGCTCTAAAAATGAATATTTCAGCCGCAGTAAAGAATCAACGTTGGCGGATTTTGGTTCTTGACATCCTTTACGATCAGTTGCGATGCCTAGAGTACGGAGACCTGTACGATTTCGTCAACTTAGTGAGTTTGATAGGGGCCGTATAGTGGGACTTCGGGAAGCTGGACTTTCTTTTCGGGCAATTGCAGTTAGAGTGCAAAGAAGTGTAGACACTGTGGTTAGGTGTTGTCAGGCATGGCTTCGACAAGGCCGTACGCAAAGAGCAAGGGGCACTGGACGCCGCCGTAGAACAACACACCGTGAAGATCGCCGCCTAAGATTATTGTCCTTAAGGGACCGTTTCTCCACTACCAGGTCCATTGCAAATGAATGATTTGCAGAACACGGAAGACATATTGGCATGCGAAGTGTTTACCGACGAATGAGAAGTTCTGACTTGTTTTCATACCGGCCACACTGGGTCCTCCCTTTAACTCGAGAACACCGACGTAATCGCCTTGAGTGGTGCAGACAACGGTCACTCTGGGATCAGGAATGGAACAGTATTGTCTTTAGTGACGAGTATCGATTTTGTTTAGGCATGCACGATGGTCGTGCTAGGGTTAGAAGGCGACGTGGTGACAGTGTTGGAGTTTTGGTTTGGTTTGGGGTGCTATAGCTTATGGTTCCAGGTCACCTTTAATCTTCATCAGAGGTAACATGAACGCGCAGCGTTATATCCACGAACTTCTAGAACCCCATCTTTTACCCTATCTTGACACCCTGGCAGATTCAACTTTCCAACAAGATAATGCCCGACCACATGTTGCAAGAGTCACAATAGACTTCTTTCAACATAATGATGTCACATTGTTACCATGGCCACCAAGATCTCCCGACTTATCCCCAATTGAGCACGTGTGGGATATAATGGGTAGGACATTGCTCAATTTGCAACGTCCTCCTCAGACTCTAGAAGCACTTCGAGAGGAGTTGGTGGTTGCCTGGAATGAGATACCACAGGAGGACATTGACCACCTGATCAGAAGCATGCCTAGGCGCGTTGGAGAATGCGTAGCACATCAGGGTGCATCCACACATTATTAAAGCAGTGCAATCATTTTGAAATTTTTATCATTTACTTATTATGCTTCATTAAGTACTTATACAAAATTTTATTAAAATAAAACCATTTAAACTGGGTGTTCGGATTTATATGTCACTTAGTATATAAGAAAAAGGTTCGTTCAAACACGGGTCCCAAAATTTCCAATTTTTATGGTACTTGCCTGTCTTCACAGAACTAGCTAGATTTTGCGAAATAAGCGTCTTTTTTCCAAAATCATTTTCATTCTGCTGGGAAAGTAGAAATTCTTGTAATGTAATAATGATAAAACAATCTATGTACTGGTTAATAATAAAAATAATTCTATTTACATTTAGGCAAAGCCCACGAGGCAGATTTTATGTTAAATAACTCTGGTGTTAAGGTACTCATACAATTTTTTGTAAGAGTCAGTGGCGTAATAAGTGTGTTAAGCGTAACAACTTGCCGGAGCTTACGCCAATGATGATGTGCGTGCAATCAACATGAAACATTAATGTTAGTTTGCTTCATAAACTATAGTGCAAAAATGTTTCCTTACAAAAGCTCGGGCTGTTGAAGTTTTAGGAAAAAAATGTAGATTAATTAGTGAAAGTTAATAAAGCTGCATATTTTTCAATGCAAAAATAATTTTTAGCTTTATCAGTGGCGTGCGTACGGGTATTGACTTCGATATTTTTCAAGAAAAAAATAGTACGCCAATGGTTTTTTGCCAAATAAAAATTATTTTTTTCAATTTAAAACAGATGATCTTTCTTGTATTGTTTTTTTTTTCGATGCGCCATTTTTGAGTAAAAAAATAAAAACCGTTCTATTGTCTAACTCGCAAAATTATTATTAATTTAATTGGGGACCTTGGTGGCCATTCTTGTGGCCCACCGCGGCCAATCCAACGATTTTGATAAACGGTTTGTAAATAATTACAAACCGCTACACTGAAAGGCGCTGATGCACCATCATGCATGTACCACATATTGTTTCTTATTATTAACGGAAAATCATCAAGCAGCAAACGCAACTGTTGTTGAAGAAAATTGAGGTAGGTCTGTCCGTCAAGTCGTCCCGGCAAGAAGAATGGGCCAATAAAGTGATTGCCAATAATTCCTGCCTATACGTTAACCGAAAATTGGTGTTAGAAATGGGTTTCGGTTACGGCATAGAGATTTTCTTCTGCCCACAAATAATTATTGTGAAAATTCTGAATGGCATTTCGAGAAAAATTAGCTTCGTCCGAAAACGGAATCATTGATTCAAATTGCGGATTTTGTGTAATTTTTTGAAGATACTACTGAAAAAAAGTCACACGCTTCGGAAAATCAATGGGAAGTAATGCCTGTACTCTTAAAATGTGGTAAGGATATAACAAAAAATCCACTAAAATTCTCCAGACAATTTGATGGCAAATATTTAAGCATCTAGCGATCTTTCTCGTACTCGTTTCAGGATATTCTTCGACTTCGTGCAGCACTGCTTCCTCAATTTCAGGTGTACTCACACTTAGAGGTCTCCCTTCAGATGTTCCTTTTCTGACAGAACCAGTTTCAACAAGACGACGATGAATATTAGAAAGTGTTCGTCTATCCGCAAAGCACGATCGGGATATCTCTGGTGATCTGTCTGGCTTGCTCACCATTACCGTCGGCAAGGCCATATACATAATGCATTTCCGCCATTTCTGCATTTGAATAATTCACCATTATTAACAAGGTTGTAAAAACTAAATAATGAAAAAGACACAGCGAACAGCTTTGAGTAACAGAGACTTGTCAGATGTCAAAAGCCAGTGACATATTACAGAGCAACTAGATATTTATTGCTAAATTGCATTCTTCAATTATTACATTAATTTTCTCGGACAATAGAACGGTTTTTATTTCTTTACTCAAAAATGGCGGATCAAAGGAAAACAATTCAAGATAGATCATTTGTTTTAAATTGAACGGGGAATTCAAAAATAATATTTATTTGGCAAAAACCATTGGCGTACCATTTTTTCTCAAAAAATATCAAAGTCAATACCCGTACGCACGCCACTGTTAAAGCTAAAAATTATTTTTGCATTGGAAAATATGCAACTTTATGAACTTTCACTACGTACTAAATATCAGTGAAATATTTGAAGCGGTTCTGAAAATATTAACTAATTTCCATTTTTTTCCTAAAACTTCAACACCCCGAGTTTTTGTAAGGAAACATTTTTGGACCATAGTTTATAGAGCAAACTAACATTAATTTTTTATGTAGATTCACACCCTTAAATATTCGCATATCATTAAGGAACACTCGTATACATCTGGATATCATCTCAATATGTCAACCTATTTTCCAGAAATGTTTGGTGAAATATCGAAGACGCTTATTATGGGAACCGAGAATTACCAGATCTACGTTCGTATGAAACTTATTTCATATTTTACGTAGTATGTCTACCCTTCAACTTTTCCGTCAGAATTCTGTTATATTAAATTATTCATACAGGTTTTTGGGCTTTTGTGGAATCTGAAATTAATCTGAATGAGTGCTATGCAATTCGACAACCTGTATAATGGGTAGTTTTCGCAAAATGTTGTAGTCTATACCAAGAGTTTCAAATTCGACTCTCACCGTTGGATCTCGGAAACGGTAAAAGATACAAAGTCGATCAAATGGGGTCAAAGTTGCGCATTTCAGTTACTAAGAAAACTGCACTGAGAAAGTTCCACAATCCCGAGTAATTCCTGATATATACGTAGATAACAGACAGCTTGATGTTTACACTCTCGCAGAGATCGATTTTGGTAATATATGACACTTTGTGTAAATAATGCCTCTTGATGCATAATACGTGTATGCCAAATTTCATTAAAATATATAAGGAGGTATTTGCAGATTCTAATAATAAATGATTTATTTTTGTAAACTTTCCCATCCTGTATCCCAGAAGTAAAGACGTTTAGAACATGTTCATAAGAAGTTATCTTCTTAAACAGGATATATATGTATGTGATAGACGGCTCTTGGCTCTTTCGATAAACCTTACTCTGGATCGAGGATAGTTGCCCAGCTTTCGTTCGTTGTCCTACCTGAGACCAAGCCCATGCTGAGGAGATGTCAAATAGCACGGAACAGTTGTCCATGGTTGTAAAAGCTATATTAATAGTTCGTTCAGTGGCGAGTAGATCATTATAGCACCAAAATCGGCGGCTTCGGCAGCCACAGTTGTAAAGCGACTGATAATGTGAACTGGGATACAGCTTGCTATACTCTAAGTGACATATAAATCCGAACACCCAGTTTAAATGGTTTTATTTTAATAAAATTTTGTATAAGTACTTAATGAAGCATAATAAGTAAATGATAAAAATTTCAAAATGATTGCACTGCTTTAAAGCCCTTTGATCTTTGATAATGTG